CTGCCTGTTTTCTTGAGATGGGCCCCTGGTGACAGGTTCTGGCTTCTGCCCACCTGTGGACCCCTCCCTGCCAGAGTCTGAGGACGCTGCCCCAGTGCAGGCTGGCCCTTCCTCTCTGTGGCACCGGGACACACCGGTCCTCCGTTCTTTCCTGTCCTGGCTGGACGCCTCTTGACACGGGGTTTCCACTGCTGGCTGCACGCCTGCGTCATGGACCCTCTGGCACTTCCCTCCTCTGTCCTCCAAGCCGCGGGTCTTTCTTCATCCTGGCATGTCCTGTGTCACCTTGTCGCCTGCTTCCTGGCCACTGACTCAGGTGCTTTCTAGTCATCACCTGACAGAAGTGAGGACGCTGCTCCTGGGCCTCCCAGGCCCTCTCCAAGCTGCAGCCCCCCGGCCGTCATTAACCGTTTACGAGCCCAGCATGGCCTCTATGTGAGACAGACTGTCCCGACTCTCCCTGCAACTCCACTTCCCTGGGCGTTTTCTCTTTGTTCTGTGCTCTTTCCTGTCTCTGGCCCCTCGAAACGGGTTGTATGTTTTGGCAACCCTGTGGCCTAAGATCTGATGGCTGTCATAGGTCCTACAGGTTGTAGATAGGGGAGCAGTCCCCCATCCGTGCCCCCCACCCAGTCCTGTGGGCTGTGGGTCTAGAAGGGGTGGTCACTGTCTCAGCCTGAAGGGCTGCTGTGCACAGCTCCCCCTACAGGACACCCAGGAGCCCCAAACTCCCAAGGCCCAGGAGGACTCAGTTGGACTGGGAGCGGCGTGCTGGGGTCCACAGTGGAGGGGAGAGATGTGCCCCCACTTCCCCGTCCCTTGGAGACGTCTGAGCTTCCATTTGGCATTAGCTGTGAAGGTTTCATGACATGTGCTCTCTGGGTGATGCATTGTCCTGTAGTGAACGGGTTTTCTTAAACAGCTAAAAACGTTGGTAATTGTGAAGCTGCGTGATGGGCGCATGACAATCACTACAGTTCTAGCTTCCTTTGTTTGAAAGTGTTGATAATAGCTTTCAATGGGACACTATGAAAAGTGCCAGGAGGCAGAAGCATGGCTCGGTCAATTACCAGCCTCCCATGGGGGGGAGAGTCATGAGGCGTTCCTGCTGGGCTCTGTGCTAACACTGCTTTGCTGACAGAAACCCATGTTGTGTTGTTGAATTCACATATTCAAATGTAGTTGTATTTCCGAGCCGTCGGTGTTGCTGTTGATGTACCGGTCTGGGTGCCAAAGCCCAGCGTAGACCTGAAGATATGCATGTTCGACCGGCTGTACCGGGACTCCATCCTCATCCAGTCACGGTGAGCAGGGGACCCGCCATGTCCATCAGCTTCTGTTTCTGGATCGCTATGGACTCAGGGCCCTGGGTGACAAAGGCCCCAGCAGCCCCAGTCTAGCAGGGTCAGCCACGGCATTCTGAGGAGAAGCCGGAAGGTTCTGGAAGTCTCTGGACCATGGCCCACAGTTCCCAGGCGGACCAGGAAGCAGCTCCCTCACCAAGCTGGGCAGCCCTCCGCCTTTCTTCCTGTAGCTTAGAGGTCATTCCACCTGTGGGGTGAGAAGACCAGGCTGTGTGAGGAGGGGTGGGCCTCCTTACTTGACCTGGTAGAGACTTAGGGCCGGCAGGGGAGGGGGAGAGCCTCACGTAGGAGGAGGGGGCTCCAGGAGTGCCCGGACGGGGGCGTGGCCTGGGGAGCTGGAGGCATTGACTAGAAGCAGGTTCCCACGTGGCAGGTCCTCTAGCTGATCCTGGTTTGGAAATAGGGATAGATTTAGGGGAGCTGCAGTCACTGACCAAGGCGGGGCTGCCCAGGGGCCTCCCGAGTGTCCTGCAGAGCTTAGGCTACAGAGCTTGGGCTGGTGTGTGGCACCCAGCCTGTCCCAGGCCTGTAACGGGGTGGGAGGGGGCAGATGCCAGCGCGGGTGAGGGGGCCACTGCACCCAGCATCTGCCTGTCAGGGGTCTTCCCAGAAAACACTCAGGCTACTGAGAACCAACAAGGGCCGATCCCAGTTGTGGTGTTTCCATTGTAAGAAGCCTCAGCAGACTTCAGTGCAGGAAAACCAGCCTCTAAAAGCAGGGCCCCAGGGACCCACTCGCATGTCAAGGCACGGCTTGGCTTGGCTTGAGCGTGCACCCTGGGTGACTGGGTGGTGAGAACTAAAATCCCTCAGAGGATTAAACACCACAGTGTCCCATCTTGGGTCCCTTTGCGTCCCTTGAGCTGCAGGTCAAAAGCAGCCCTGCGCCTGAAGCTTGAGGTGTGCAAGGAGCTCAGGGGCCACATGGAGCTGCTGCCTGAGACTGGCTACATCCAGGCCCTGTCGTCCTATTCTGTGCAGCTCAAGTTCCTGCCACNACCCTTCCCAATGTGGGCCTTGGTCCTTCGTGGGAATGGTGTGCCAACGTACCACTGAGTGACTGGAAATGTCCTCAGAGCACCTCGAGGGATCCCATCTGGCACAGCCAGCGCCCCTGGGGGGTCATTTGGGGGTGAGGACGGGTAAGAGAAACTTGGCCGTTTTGAAACACAGATCCAAACTAGTCGCTCTGTCCACCGCAGTGAGGGGAGTCAGCAAAGGCCCTGGATGAGTCTCCCCCAGGGAGGGATGGGATGGGGGTCCCCCCATCATCGGTGTGAACCAGTCAGGCCAGGCTCTGCACAGAGCCAGCTGGGTCTGGGCCGTCGGGAGGGGAAGGTGGGCAAACTTCCAGCAAAGGCGGCATGTCTCTTTTCAGAGCAGCGTCTTCACATACGAAGATAGAGGTTTTTATGAAAAAATTGTCTCCAGTTTCTCTGAGCAGCAGCTGGATGGCAACGAGTCCCCCCTGGTGGATGTGCCCAGCCAGAGGGGGCCGGACGAGGGCCACCCCGCAGGTGAGATGGGCAGCGGGGTCCAAGGGCCCGGGGCTGCCCACAGGAGCCCCCAGCGCCCACCCACCTCCCCCAGGCTCTGATGTGCCCGTGTGGAGCCAGAGTGCGTATTTTTCCAGGAATATGGTTTTAAGCGACAGTAAATGACAAATGGTCATATATACACATAAACGCTGGCAGTGGCGGGATTGAGATCCACATCTGTGTTTAAGGGGGCAGGAGACTTACAGGAGCTCCCCAACTTTGCACCTCCAGGCTGGCCTCAGGGTCGTCCTCCTGCTGCCCTGGAAGGTCCTTGTTGGGACATTTGAGGAGCCCTGCCCCCGGGGCGCAGCAGCCTTGGGATGGAGGGGCGGGAGGGGCAGGAGTGCCGGCAGG